GGAAAAAAACATGTTTGGGGAGTAGTAAGTGAGGAAAGAATGATTGGATTAGGTCACAATGGTAGTCAAGCCAGGTCATGAAGTTCCTTGAAGGCCATGGTAAAGACTTTAGACTTCATCCTAGGTAATGAGAAGCAATGGAAGAGTTTTAAATCAGAAATCGTATTGATTTTCTTGTTCAAAAGATCACTCCACTCACCTTAGAGATCGTAGGTGTCAAGGGTGAAAGCAGGGTCACCATATTGGCCATTGCAGTAGGTAGTGGAGGTTTGGATGATGGTAGTAGCGTAATTATGGGAAGTCACTAGATTACAAATACATTTTGAAGGAATTTATAATAAGCACTGCTGATGGATTACATTTGGGAAATGAAGAGAAAAATAACAGAGTTTTCTCAAGTTTCTCTTTCGAGCGGTAGGCAGTCAATCACTGAGGAGAAGACTGGTGAAAGAACAGATTTTTATTGGTGGGGAAGGCGGTCAAGAAAATTTCAAATTCTCTTGTACATGTTTAAGTATGTTATGCCCACTCAATAATTTGTAATTGAACTATATGATTTGATTCAAGATTTATCCAAATCTGTGTAGGAATAAGCCATATTAAAGTGCCATACTATCTGGGAAATTGGAATAAATGATACATATTTAAAGTTCACTAAGCAAGTTAGTGTTTCTGTTAAGATAATAACTACCACTTACTGAGGGATTTTCATTTGTTTGGACCATATGAAATTGTAGGTATTGACAGTTTTGAACTTGCAAATGGCAATGCCATATGGTTTATCCCAGTATATACTAGCCACAGAACTACTTGTTTATGTATAAATGAATGAATATTCACAAAAACCTTCAAAGTAGGCTTTTTATTATCTTAAAATTGATGAAATGAAAGTTCTGAAATAGGTTAAATAACCTACCAAAACTGATTACAAGGAAGTAGGTAGGCAGGAGTCAAAACAAGTTCTTTCTGACATAGCATCTGTACTCTTAGCCACAAGGTTATACTACTCAGATTTCCAGCCATGCTGAAATGAGTCATGCTGCCTTCTCCAAAATGAGAAAAGTTTCAAATCCAAAAGACACAGCTATACAGACACAAGAGTGCTTGGTCTGACTGGATGGAGAATTGCTATCTCCCTCCTACAGAGAACCAGAGCCAAACCCAAGTGGACCTTAAAGGCTGTTGCTGCATTTTAGAAGTAAATGCAATGAACAAAGAGAAATCAGACAGTGAGTTAACACTATTGAAAGTTACTCAGAAATTCCCATCAAATTCATTCCTTCAAGAAATTTCCAGCTTTTCTTTCATATTTATCACATATATGAAATAGAAAACAAATGATTCTCACCTCAGAAAAAGAAAATATAATGCCACAGGTTGAAGCATATCACTCTCACCAAGCTTTGACCACTTTTATCAAATACCTTATAGCATATTTATTACTGTACTCTCAAGCATTCCTATATACAATTGAAGGCGGCACTACCAGTAACTGAGTTCAAATGAAAAAATGTAAAATATACTATTGATTATAGGAACTTTAAGCTTTTCTCTCTTTACAAAGTATCTAGATTATCTAGATTTCAGTAAAATGAAGAAAGTCTTCATTTATTTCCTCTAACACTACCTATGAATCAATTAGGAATTCTAAGTACAGAAAAGCTACATCAGTTTTATCAGTTAATAATTAGCTATTCAATTCAAAGGCTGAAAAAAGTTTTCATGACTAAAAAGCTTTCTGTCTACCCTTGGGAAGAATATTTCCCACATAGCTTTTGCATTGATAGTGTCATTTAGAGCCAACAATTCTTCATGGTGTTGAGTAGAAAGAGTCACTTGTCAATTAAATAACACTCTTATTAATGGAAAACTGAATTTTCAATTTAATAACTAAATGAATTTGTTCTTCAATGCTATATAGATCAAGGATTCTCTGAGTTTATTAGTTAGTTCCCAAATTGGTCCAGAAAATAAGAGCAATACTTATTAATCTCTAATTTCTCAGTCATCTTTGGTATTATGTTAATAATTAATACCATATACCGATTCCTTACTACATGCCAGATGCCACGATATGGGCTTTACCAACACCTTTTCATTGAAATCTCCTAACAACCCTGTGGGATAGGTTATATTATCTTTGCTTTGACCGAAACTTAAGATGTTAAGTAACTTTCCAAGGTCTAAAACTAGTGGAGAGCTTGGATTTAAACTAAATGATTTTGGCCTCAAAACCCATGCTCTTAGCCCTTATATTGTGTGTGAGTGTACATATATGTGTTTGTTTTTAATGGTAGAGCTGATTATTGTGAGTGACTGTACTCTTAGTAGGGGTGTGGTAAATGCCAATGCTTGTATTATAAAGGTGGTCAAAGTCCAGAACCTTGAACCCACCCTGAAAACTGGCTATGTATGCTTATCTTTTTTGGTGATCCTTTGTTATTTATGTGATTTTCATATTCAAAATTTTTCTAGTTAGGTTTCCTGAAAAATAATTGTTTTGTGCTTGAGGTCAATGTTTAGTCAATCAAATGTGTCTGATCATTAGAAAAGATGGATTATTTAGTAATTTCTTGGCTTTGGCAACAATGCAAAAGACACTCAGTAGAAAAGAATCGTGGCAAGATAAACCTTTAAAGTATTAACTTCTGGGTTTTCCCTCCTTTCCCAAACTGTACAAATGAATAGACATGTGCCATAAGAAAATCAAAGTGACAGATATTCAACCAAAAGGGCTACTGACTTAGAAAGATTCAGGTACATTCTGACAGAGCTTTTGCCCCTGGAGATTAGATAAAGTGTGTTAGATAAAGAGCAGTGGGAGAGAAGAGGTGACATGGACATGAAGGTACATGGGAGAGAAATGCCAAGCCCTCTCTAGAGCCTGCACTACTCCTAGCCCAGAGCAAGGGCACTGCTTAGAAGCTGAGGCAAACCTGAGGTGATTCTCTAATTGTCTTTTTGTAGGTTCCACCATTCACCAGTAGTCAACCCACTGTCCATCATCTGTCCAGTTTGAAGTGTTGCTTGTCTGTTTCCCAAGAATCTTTTCATATTCTTCTGATCAACCATCTCTCGAGAATAATCCCCCATCTAACAGCCCAGGACATTCATAAATATCATTTGGCTCCCCTCTCTGCCCTCAAATTGAGGAGTAGAAGACTTATAGTCCTTGATGGGTGATGGTGGAGAAGGCTTGGACACTATGCAGGGTGATGTTGGTGACAGCTCAAAGGGAAATGTTTAGTCTAAAGAAAGCAGGATTATTTGGAATCAATGTGAAATCATTCACTGAGCCAAGATAGTAGAGGAATGCACTACTTACTCCTTTACAGAGTGTTAAGAAGTGTCTTTCACAGGCAGAGAATGTTAGAGCTGGTAGAGAACTTAAACAACTTCTAGTCCCACCCTTCCATATATGAGAAGAGGCCCAGAAAGGAGACATGACTTGTTAGAGGTCAAATAGCTGGTTAATGGCAAAGCCACAACCAAAAATAAGATGTGCTGAGTGAATATAATTCTGTCTCCACTGCACAGCACAGGCAGATCTGGCCTGGGAGCTCTTTCTTTGGAGGTGGATTTCTCTTCCCCAAGTCATGCTAAGTTGAGTGGAGGATCCAGTTCCTAAGTTCTTAGAAGCCCAAATTCAATAGCTCACAGTGATATCAAAGTTAAGTTTTTGTTGGATTAAATTAGTTTACTGTCATAAGATACAGTGAAAACACTTTTTTAAAATGGTTGAGAGAGCATAACTGCATATAGACAATTTCTCTTTCACAGAGATTCTGAGACTACTCACTTTAGCCCACAGGTGCCTGAAACAGAATGGCAAAATGCATTTAATTTTGTTGAAGAAAGTACAAGCTTCTTTCTCCATAACAAATGAGGAACTGATTTTCATTACGCATGTGTTCTTCTGCTCATTCTTCCATGAATATTCTGTCACTAAAATTTTTACAGGTTTAGAACGAGAGTGTTGCCGTATTGCTCAGTATTTCTCTAATGATCACTATGTAATTTATACTCCCCACAACAATTTATCTTTAGATATTTTAGTGGCTTCCAGACACTCACCAACAAAACTCATCAGGTTGCACTTTTCCATTTGCTCTCCTTGGCTTCTGTTCCCTTCATAGTTTTTATGTCTTCAGAAACTTTTTTTTTTTTTTTAGAGAAACACTAGTTTTTAGCACCACTTTATGCATGTCAATGTATTTAAAGTTTTTTTGTTGTGTGACAGATTAAAAAAAAACATTAAAGACTTCTCTCTCAAAGAAGGATTGGTGAAATATTCCAATAAAATCTTTGTTTATAAGACACAGGGATAGCCAGGTACTACATAGATCAAAAAATGTTTCTCATAAATATTAAGTTGATTCCAAATTAACATTTTATACTCAATTATTAACATTTCACACACTATTTCTGTTCAATCAATTTCAGAACTTCATGAAAAAGTTGAGTAGTAGGCTGGGTAATAGGATAACACAATGGGAGCCTTTTTTCCAAGGCTGGCATGTGAATAAAGTACCTGCAAATTAAAAAAAAAGAAACAAAATAGCTTTAAAAACAAGAATTTTCACACTGGTCACATCAGTATGTACATACTCACTGGCATGGGGTTTTGGGGTGTGGGAGTCTCAGCTACGAAACTCATCCAGCATCCTCAGCCCTCCAACCTCCTTCATTTGTGACCTCGAAGATCTCTGATATGAGTGCCTTTCGGCTCACTGAAGCACTTTACTTCAGCCAAGAAAGTGAATTTCATGAATAATGTATTAGCCATCAAAGCATTAATAAGGAAGCCAGGATTGTCCTCACCACAGTATGAGCTGAGGCTCCCACTTCTTGTTCTCTCAGGCAATACGCAGTGGGGAGTTGAAAGGAAAGAATTAAGCTGTGGTGACCACCAGGGCCAAGTCAAGAGAGGAGAGTTGGGTTCATCCCCATGGCCTCAGGAAAAGTATAAGATAGGCCAGGGGAATAGATAATAGTGGGAAAATCTTTAGCCATCCCATGAAATGGCTTTTAAAATTGGCTTTCAACCCTGGGTGCACATTAGAATTACCTGGAGTGGTGTTTTTTTGCTACTTTGTTTATTTTTTAATGTCGATGCCCAGGCCTCACCTCAGACAAATTATAAAGAATTTCTACATATGTAACTTAGTTATCAGTATTTTTTAATAGTTCCTCTGGTGATTCTAATGCACAGCAAGTTGAAAATCACTAGTTTAAAACAAGGATCACAAACCTAAATGCCCACAGGTTACATATTAGGAGTAAGAGTAAGAGTAAAAATAAAGAGAGGATAGAATGACAAACTATACAGTATGTTATAACCTAAGAGGGTAGGTGCTGTTGAGCTCTGGTCAACTATATATTGTCACGTAGAAGTGTGACACCATTTTTTTCAGTTGTTCTGATTTTTAAATGTACATAACTAATTTTTAAAAATTGGGTTATATGATACGTGCTACAACATGGATGAACCTCGAAAACATTATGCCGAGTGAAAGAAGCCAGATACAAAAGGCCATATATTGTATGATTCCATTGATATGTAATGTCCAGAATAAGCAAATCCATAGAGACAGAAAGGAGGTTAGTGGTTGTCCGGGGCTGGGGGAGAAGAGACTAGGTTATGACTGCTTAATGGGTACCAGGTTTCTTTGAGGGTGATGAAAAGGTTCTGCAATTAGTGGTGATGAGTGTACAACACTGTGAAATGTATTAAAAGCCACTGAATTGTACACTTTAAAATGTTTTAAATGGTGAATTTCATGATATATGAATTTACACCTAAAAAAAAAAAAAAAGGTTAGGAAAAAAGATTGAGCTGTGTGGATCAACTTAGAGTAGGCCCAACAAAACCCTTTTTTATAGGAGCAAGAGTGGAACCTATGGTGTAAAACCACATGGAGAAAAAAGAGGATCCAAAAATTGAGCTGAAAATTTTTTTAAAGCCAGTCTAAGGCAATAATGTATGCTTCCACATCCTTTTATTTCTCATCCAAACTGGTTGCAAAGCTCTGGCTGCTGCACTCTTTTCATCTTAAGTCAGACACAGTCTGTTTTTTCCTCGATAGGTGCTAATGCAAGGCTACAAAGATAAGTACATTTGGCTTTGCCAGCCTATAAATAGAAGTAGGAACCCCTGAGGTGCAGAACAAGCAGGCTGATGAAACCAAAGCTTGCTACTACTTCTCTTTCTTGGTGCTTTGTTACTAAGAGTGAGAGGGGTAAATGAAATAAACAAAACCCCTAATAACCTCCTTCATTAATTGTTTCTCTTTTATCAATTTTTTCCCCCAATGATTCAGTTGAATTCACATCCCGTAATTTTTCATCCCCTTCAGTAGAGTTTGTTACATAGCATTAAAATCATTACAACGTTTTTGATATGTTGGCTGCAACAGACATTGAGTGAAAAATAGTTCTTCAAAGAGAGTTTGACGTTTTGCTAGTCTTTTTTGGCCTGGGAATATATTTCAAATGGCAACAGTTCTTAGAGCTCCCCAAAATCCTACCTTACTGCAGATCAAAGTAAAATACTATTAAAAATAAAAATAGAATTTCCCATTGTCACTTCATCTTCTAAATATAAGGCCATGCTTCAATTTCGCATGAAAATCAGAAATGAGTGGCTTTTACTGCAGATTAGATTGAGACTTCTTACCTGAATTCTTCTCTGTAGTCATTCCTAATATACTCAGCTAAAGTCTTGCTGTACAGCAGGCAGCTCTTGAGGATGAAAAACTGCTGGTACAACAGAACTGCTTGGCCAGGACTTAGCATCTGAAATGAAGCTGAAAGCCCCTTCACCACTTGTTTCACAATACTGGCCACAAAAGTAATCTAGACAAGGAAAACGCAGTTAGTTTCATGTAGGCCGCATGCCACCCATAAGAGCACCTATTTCAGCTGGAGCCTCAACGAGAAATCTAGGCTGAAGACCTCACCACCCTCACACCAAATAATAACACAAACAAATGTAAACTGCAAAAGTGACCAGTCCTGTGAAGGAAGGGAAGAAGAAACCATGCTACGACTGTGTGTGCCTATAATGAGAAAATCTAACCTAGTCAGAGGTCAGAGAATCATCCCCTACCCTAACCCCAGGAAGGGGCACTGAGGTCTGAAGGATGAGTAGGAGTTAACTAGGTGGGAAAGGAAAGGAAAAGCATTTCAGACAGACAGGTGGTAAAGATTCTGTGATGGAGGTGGGGCTGTTGGGGTGGGCAATGAGTAAGAGACCCACATAGTATTAGGAGAGATTTAAAGCAAGAGATGACATAATTGGATTTTTATTTTGAACAAACTCCTCTGACTATAGTCTGATGGGAAGATAGGAACAGACCATGTAGACGTGACTGTAGTGTCAAGGAAAGAGATGGTAATACTATGGACTAGGATGGAGGCTGCCAGGACAGAGTGCCCAGATAATCCCAAGTATTATATTCATGCTTGCCAACTCATTACTGTTTAAGTGTTCATTTTTTCACTTAGTTATATAGCTGATATTTTAATATTCTGTTTTCTACATATATCTTAGGGTTTTTCATGAAATAAAGATCTCATTTAAGATGTTATTTCACTGCCTTTAGGCCCCAAGTATTATCAGATTTACACTTCTGTTTTATAAAAAATTTGTGTTTTATTAATTAAGCACAAGAGCATCTGTTTAATTAGCCTTGAGTGCTGGTTTCGTTTTTACTTCTAGGCACTTACTATGGGGGGACGACTTTGTAGAAAGGACATCATCCAGCTAATAGCAAACTTTGTTGATCCCAATCCAAGATTTCCCTAAAAGACTCAAGGAAATAAACAAGTTATTTCATGAAGTTCAAGTTGTACCTAAAAGGGCATTCATTCTCAAATCCATTTTATTCTTAATCAAATCTTTAAAATCGGTAGTTAGGAAAATAAGCGAGATGAGCACTTAAGAGCAAAAGTAGTGTTATATGAGTAAACTAGTTTTGGAGACTATCTCTAATACAAACATTTTAAAAAATTTATTAATCATATATATTATTAATCATAATATGTAATATAAGTATATGATAGTTGTATGATATATATAATAACCACACAATGTGTATAATAAAAAATATATATTGTACCTGCTGAAAGACAAGAAGTATCTCATATAAAAGTGCTGTAGCTCTATCTGTATATTCCAGGATAAGCTTCTGTAACTGGAATTTTAAATAATAATCAATACAATATCATTGGCAGAGCCAGAAAATGGCAATTTCTCCTGGTTCCCTTTAGATACTTACAAAAGAATTTTTATTAACAGAAAATATAATTAGTGTGGCCAATTTTCCTATTTCATTTGGTTTAAGTCATTCTCAAAAGAATGGCTCTCATAAAAAGACTACACATTTAATAATGGCTGAGAAAATGGGTTAGGGAAAGGAGATACAATGGCCCACAGAATACTAACACACAAAAAATGCACACTTGATTTACAAAATCATTCAGATCAATAACTACTTTCTTTCAAAATGCTTCCCAGAATTAAGATGGGGAGATTCTCTGAGAAATTTAGGCTTATGTGCAACTTGAAGTACAACTCCTTCTGTAGTGTGAGTAAATATAGGGCTTAGAGACTTTTTTTTTTT